CACACACACACACACACACACACACACACACACACATGCAGCAGACTCAGCATGGATGCAGTGAGTGTATGCAGCAGCAGATCAGGTTTTGCTGCGTCCTGCAGATGCTTCCCGGGACACTGAGGACAAGCAGAGTAAGTCTGACTCTCTTGTTTTTATCTGATCTTTAAACTGGATGTGTCTGATTCAGAGCAGGAAGATAAAAATCTGTAGAAGCTGTTGTTGCTGTGAAGGTTGAACAGGTTAGCATGTGAGAGTTTAAAGACCAACTGCATTATTTTAACCCAATAAATGTAAAGAAAAATACTCTCAAAACATCAGAATAATAGTGACTGACTTAAAGAAAACTAAGTAATAAACTAAAAACCCTGCTGTCGGATTTTTGGTTCAGAGACTTGGGTATGATGATGAGGTTTGTCTTCATGTTGTTTTCAAATCACGGTGGCTGAATAGAGCAGATAATTCTTCACTTTCCGGCTTAAAGTGGACATATTATGGATTTAAATCCTTATTCACATTTAAACCATTCAGTTGGGGTCTTTATAAAGAGGAACTGTAATGCTTTGGTCTGAATTCCTTATTGTAACTCTACAAACCCTTTTCTGAGGTGTGTTTAAGATCAACTCATTTTGAGGCTGTCTTTTCAAATCCAAACGACTTGCTTCGCACCCAGCCCCCTCCATTTTATGACTATATAGCTGCACAGAAACATTTTATTTACAAATAAAAGATGTGAACAAGAGAGGACTTGTCCATCCAGCCTTACACGTTGGAGTCAGAGTTTGACCCAGATTCTGAATCAGAACCAGAGGACAATGAAGACCATCAAATTGTAGTTGGTAAGTCCAGACTGTATTTAGGAGTTCTGTCATAAGTATTGTGACAAAATTGTTCAGACAACATATCTATGCAGCTCCAGGAGAGAATAAATTTAACGTTTCTGTCTCCTAGAGACTCCAGTATACAAAAAAATACGTTTAATGGTTAAAAAAGTTAATTTTGCAGATATGTCCCCTTTAAATATGTTTACCTAAAAATTTGTTACTCAGTTGAACTTTGTTTCCACTAAAAACACAAAAGAAAACTTTAAAATGATATTCTTTCAGTTTTGTACTTTATTCTTACCCTCTCCAGAATCACCACCTTTGCATGGTGGAGGGGTTTGAGTACCCTGATGAGCCTGGGGTTTATATTATCTAGAGCAGGGGTGTCAAACTCCTGTCCTCGAGGGCCGCTATCCTGCATGTTTTAGAGGTTTTCTTGCTCCAACACACCTGATTTTGATHGCTGGGTGATTAACAGGCTTCTGCCCAATTTGAAGAGTTAATTCAATCACTGAATCAGGTGTGTTGGAGCTGGAAAACCTCTAAAACATGCAGGATAGCGGCCCTCGAGGACTGGAGTTTGACACCCCTGATCTAGAGCATTAACTCATGGTAGGGTCTCCCGTTGCAAACAAACCTCAGACGAAGAGTCAGACTGAGTGACTAAAATCCCTTGATGGACAAACAACATATGCATCAGGAAAGCTCACCYAGAACAGGGAAACTGGGGCACCTACCTAGAGCCAGGTCTAAGAGGTTTGCCAGCAAGCACCTAGTGGTCGAGCCTTGGCTTCTAGGGCTCAGCCAGACCAAGCCTGAAAGAAAGACAGAGGAGGCCACCTCCATGTGGATCCATCACCTTTGAGGAGGACCGTCAAGGTCGGGGATGATGCAAGCCAGTTGTCCGGTTAGGGACAACTGGCTTGATATAGTTAGATATAGTTGGGCTCACTTCTACTCAAAGCCTGGGCTCTGGAATTCAACTCTCAGAGAAAGGCTGGACACTCTTCTACTCTGGAGTTACCCAGGGAGAGAGATGTCAGGTATGGGGATACTCACGAGCTCCCAGCTGTTACAATGAAAGAGAGGGCTGCTTCTCTGCAGTTTTTGGCTGCACAAAGGAAGGTTGTGTCTGTCAGGACTTTGTGCTTATGGACCAAACATCAGTTCAGATTATTTTTCCGGGAGCCTCTGGCTTGTTCCTGGAAGGGGTCTCATCTAAAGATTCTGTTGTACTACTGGGTGACTTCAGTGCTCATGTGAGAAATGACAGATTTCTGGAATAAGGTGATAGGGAGTAAAGGCCTCCCTGATTCGAACCTGAATGGTGTTCTGTTAGTGGACTTCAGTACTAGGCATGGGTTGTCCATAACAAATGCCATGTTTGAGCATAGGGTGGTCCATAAGTATGCTTGGTACCATTGCAAATGTGACTGTCAGGAGCTGGGATTATTAAGGTAATCGGTGCTTCTCGCTGGGGCAACCAAAGGACCTGCTGGTGATGGAGGTCGTCAAGCTGAAGAATGAGACCTTCAGGACTTGAATGACCCAAAGGACTCATGAAGCAGCTGATAGGTACAGAGTGGCAAAGATGGTCGCAGGTTGCAGATGCAAAAACTTGGGTGTGGTAGGAATTCAGGGAGCTCATGGAGAATAACTTGCGGTTGACCTTGAGGAGGTTCTGGCAAATAGTTCAGCGACTCAGAAAAGTAAAGCATTCAATGTCCCAGGCTGTACTTGGTTTGGGTGAGGAACTGCTGACCTAGACTGAGGATATCACTATGTGGTGGAAGGAGAACTTCAAGAATCTCCTTACTCTGTCCATTATGTATAATTATGAGGAGGCAGAGTCTGAAGACTCGGGGGAAGACGAGTCCATTACCATGTCAGTGGTCACTGAGGTAGTCAAAAAACTCCTTGTTGGCAGGGCACTAGGGGTGGAGGGGATTCACCCAGAGTTGCTGAAGGTTCTGGATGTTGTGGGACTGTCATGGTTGGCATGTCTCTTCAACATTGCATGGAGCACTGGGAATATTGTGGGATCCAAACTTCTCGACCTCTCCTGGGGTGAGATTTATAAAGGATTGCGTGGAAACCATACTAAAAATGAACGTACGGCCAAAAGGCGAAAATGGCGTACGCCAAAAAAAAATTCAGATTTTTAAATCCGTGCGTACGCACGTTTCTGCGCATCTTTCCTTTATAAATGACAGCCGCACGTCAGAGTTTGCGCACAAGGTCCGGCCTCAGGTTCTACCCTCTACACGCCCACACTCAACCATAAACAGTCAATGCAAAGTACCTCATGAATGTTAAGATGTATTTAAATCAGTCAGCTGATCAATGTCAAAAAAAGTGATTGGCCGACTCAGACTCGTGCTCCGTCATACGTCTGGAGGATGACAGGTGCTGACTGACAACTGCTCATGTGAACAGAATGTCTGTAATTGACAGATTTTCCCTGATTTTGCAGGTTTACAGATGTCAAGAGTAATCTAATGATTTTTATCAAAAACTCAGCTTCAAATTAATTTTCTCTGAGAGCCTGCAGGACGATAAAAACAATAAGYAAAATTAAATGTCAGATAAACTTAAAAATAATTTCACCACTCATCTCCCCATCCTCCCCCTCCTCTGTTATCTGCGGTAGAGCAAATTCGAACTTTAAAAAGCGTACCCATAGCGTGATGTCGTGCTGTTGAAATGTGTCTTGTCGGGGAGGGGTCTGTGGGTCAGGGTCGTGAGGAGGAGGAAAGAAATTAATGTGTTGCGTGAACTTTTATTTTAGATTTAAGTTCTTATTTCAAAGGTCCTTCTGGCTCAGCAGAAGACACATAAATATTACTGTTTAGAAAGCTGATTATAAAGTTGAATAAAAATCTAAGTCTGATTMTGAAGGTAAATTAAATCTCTGACAGTGATCATTACACAGTGTGGCTCTAATTCCTCACTTCACCATCTGTGTCGCAGTTTCCCATCTCCAAAATGAGCGTACGCATGGGTCAGAGCTGACATGAGGCACCGCACATTTTCACGTCAAGTTTGGATTTTATAAATCACAACCTTGGCGTGAAAAAATGGCGTACGCAAGTTTCTGGGCTCATATTGTGCGTACGCCAGTTTTATAAATCCGATCCCTGGAAAGTTTATTCCAGGGTATTGCGTTAGAAGGGAGGCTCCGATTGATCGTTAAACCTATTCAATTGGAACAACATGTCTTTAGTCCTGGGGTCGGATTTATAAAACTTGCGTACGCACAATGGGCCTCATGCAAGAACATGTTCGTATTCTTATCCTAAATTTCTCTGACTTTTGTTCGTATGAAGGGTTCGTACGAAGATGTCACGTCAGATTCAACAAACTCTTCTATCTTCAGGAAAAGTGTGTAAATGAGCTGCGTAGTTTCCACCTGTTCGTATCCAGCTGCTCGTGCACGCGAGAGGAGATTAGCATAATTACCACCCCAAAAACACTATATAAGGCTGTGTTTCCTACCTCAGATACAAGTGTCCATTCATGAAAATGACAGTGAAAACTAAAAAAATAAAAACTTTACGAGTTCAGAGATTGAAGTCCGTCTGTCAGAGATCCAGAAAATAAAACCTGTCTTTTTTAGCAGGTCAGCTGTGGAATAAAAAGAGCTGCTAAAAGTATAAACAACTGTGTTAAATCATTTTCATTTATTCAGAAGACACAGCGCTGCGCACTGTACACCCACCCCCCACCCCCCGCGCATGCTGCGCGGGCGCAGGTGGTCTCAGGTGGTCTCAGGTGGTCTCAGATGCGGGTTTGAAATAAGCATTTTAAAATGTTTTCAAAATAAGTCTGGCACTTTGGAGAAAATCCAGGACTTGATCATATATCCCCTCTGGCCTGGGAACGTCTCGGAGTCCCCCAGGACGAGCTGGAAGGTGTCGCTGGGGAGAGCGGGGTCTCTCTGCTGCTGCCACCGAGACCTGATCCCAGATAAGCRGCGGAAAACGGACGAATGGACAATTTATATTGTTAGTCTAAATTATTACATTTAAAATTATAACTCTAATTCAAGCAGAATAGCCTATTGTCAACATAATTATGGAGTGTGATTTATTTTCAACTCAAAATATCTTCAAACTAACGAAATATAAAGTTATTAGTGAAGAAAACCCRTCTGGATAACAGCAGACTGACTGCTGTAAAATATACGACAGGTCTGGACCACTTGTGAATTTTGTTCGTATCTGAAAAAATTCTTAGAATACGAAAACATTGGTGAATGCCACAAATTGTCCTAAATCACTCGTACGCACAACTTAAGAACAAATCTGTGC